ATATCGCCGAAAGGTCGCTACAAGTGTCCTAAACAACATACTAAAAGCACCAAAAAATCCCATTGGTGGAACATGCTGAAATTTGGATTTGAAAATTTATCAAATTTACCACAGGGTGACCACGTCTTAAAAATGGAAAAAATTCAGAAATTCAGCTCTTTGGGTAATTATAAAACGCATTTCACATACCAATTAGGCTGTTTTATTTATAAAACTACATATTTCGACGTTCACGTTTCATATTCTGCAAGTAAACAGTGCATAAGTTTACCACAGGGGACCTACACCACGAAAAATGGTATAAAATCTAAATTAAAGAGTCAGGTTATTCTCTTCGACTTGTTATCATATAATAAATTGGGCCTCCCTGTTTTACATGATTAGAACTCAAGAATATTATATATATTGTTCATCTAAGCGTATATATATATATAGCCATGTCCTTTGTTTTGCTATCTTTGTTATTGCGCTTCAGCGTCATCTAGTCCCAAGTTGAGATCTTGTGCACTTGAGTTGAGGCAGCTTTCACCTTTGCACACTCCTGGACCCTCACTCCTGGACAAAACTTGAGTTGAACGGAATCTACCAGCTACCAGGACAGGCTTATTAAACTGAAACTCTTGCCTATTCTTTTCTTTATGAAATCAATGATCTTCTTTTCAATTCTACTTCAGGTGCCGATTAGGTCACTACAGTATCTGTCATAATGATTTTGTACAGCAGCTTAGTTTTAGATTTGTCAATTTCTTAGTTGCGCCTTACATTGTTTTAAACTAGTTATTTTAATCGTCTACCTATTCGTTATGGAATTATCTACCAGCATCTATCTGCTCTGTTTTAATCTCAATAAATACAAATTCTTCAATGTTGGAAGATGTTTGCAGATATCCTCAGAGATGAGACTAGTAAGACATCCTCGGAGACCTAGGGGCAGTTAGTTATGCCGTTTCTCCTGACTCGACTGAGGCCCCTTCTACACGAATCCGGAAACCGCATATTTCTTTACACAACCGTATTCGTATGGACGAGGCCTTAAACCTATCTGGAGCGCGGTTTGAGAAAGATGCAGCTTCGGTGAAAGGATTCATAGGTTTCATGTGGACGAAAGGCCGGTTTGTGTTTAAAAAATGTATATATTGGCTGTTCCAAAAAATATCCGGATTTGTGTGGAACCTGGCTTCACTGCCCCTGGGTTCCCAAGAATTTTAACGGTTAATTATTCATCAAAAAAGGATAGCCGAAGGATTGGTAGTGCGGTTTTGGTAATGCTGGAGAAAATGGCAAAGAAAAAAGAAAGAGCCCAACTACTGCCTAACGGCAAAGCAAAAACAGCAAACATACCACTCGACCGATGACAGCTGCTCATGAAGATAAATATTTTCCTGCTAGACTAAACGTGCCCTTATATCCTGAATTGTCCGAGGAAGAGGCAAATGTTATGCAGACGAAACTTTACATCGATGAAGAAAAGCATGATATAAGGTTTTGAAATACCTTCAATTAATTAAAAAAATGTTTGATTCTGCTTTGTATGATATGAAGAATTATGCAAGTCTCGAGGGGGATGGGGAGGGGAGGGGAAGAGGGTAAAAATAAGGAAGCCGAATCCAATAATTGCTGAATAATTGATCAAAGTTACGCTGAACTGTCATCAGGCATATGCAAAATCTCTTATCTTTACGCCAAGCTTCACTACATTTTGCCAGATATCGACGAGTGTTCTTCCAATGCCCACAGCTGTGGCGTCAATGCGGTGTGTAACAATACTGTTGGATCGTATGCATGCGCATGTAAAGCAGGATATTCAGGAGATGGAAGAAAATGCACTGGTAAGGCGTTTTGATCTTTTTCTAAAGGTGACTTAGAAGAAAGGGATACTGTAAATGACTCCTGTGTAAACTTGTTCATACTCGAGTACAGACGAAAAAGGTTTTTGGTAGGTCAGACAACAACAAAACCAACAACAGAAACAATCATATACTTTTTTGAAAATGAATTAACTTAGAGTACTGGATGCCTGGTATAGCCGTTAGACAACCATTAGTAGCGAGGCAGCCAGATGATGTGATCATTAAATGAAAATAACCCATGAAGCCCGTAAGCAGCAGTCTTTCGCGTGCGGGGTCTGGGGCGCTGGTTTCGGAACGAGGAGGGTACGCAGATGGGACTGTTATGACTAGAAGTATTATCATAGATTTGGGAGTGCCTTCGACATGGGTAATATATTGCCGAAAATAGAACCTGATAGGTAACGTGAAGGCTAAAACGGTGTGTTACGTTTCATTTTCTGGGTTTAATTCGCATTTTGCCTATTTTGTTCGTTCATTGTGGAGCGCTGTTTTGTGAGGAGTTTGAATGGCCTGAGAAAACAGCCGAAACTTCGCGACGTTACCGCTGTTTTCCCCACGAAATGATATCTGAGAAACGAGCGCAAAATTTCCACCCTGATGACGCGCCACTACCTAGCTGTGAGTAGTGCTTCTGATTAGTTGAAGCAAATTTTCAGCCAAACAGATCCAGGTAGTGACGTCATCAGGATGGAGTTATAAAGGAGCTGAGAAGCATATTGTGAACTTTGATTTGTGGGGAGTTTTAGTTGATAAATCAGGTTGGATAACAAAATTAGCAGTTTGTGTTTTCTTTGATAAAGTATGGGTAAATAGTAGAGACAGGATCAATGCATTATTCAAAGTACTTTCATCGCGACTCCTTCTTCTTTGGATATGTGAAACTTTGGAGGGCTCTTCGCAAAGAAAAATAAACGTCAACACGACGCACTTCAGCGCGTCCACGAAAATTGGCAGTAACCTTTCAAACTCTAGCCTAAGAAAACAGCCGACATTTCAAGACGCTACAACTAGTTTCCCCTCGAAATGACGTTCCAGAAACGAGCTCAGAAACTCCATCCTCATGATGCGTCACTACCTAGATCTGCTTGGCTGAAAATTTGCTTCAGCCAATCAGCAGCAATACTCACATCTGGGTAGTAACGCGTCATCAGTATGGAAAATCTGCGCTCGTTTCTCAGACGTAATTTCGTGGGGGAAAAAAGTGGTGGCGTCGCGAAATTCGACTGTTTTCTCAAGCTATTGAAACTCCTCACAAAACAGCGCTCCATAATGAAAAAACAAAATAGGCAAAATGCGAAACCCAGAAAATGAAACGTAACACATCGTTTTAGCCTCCACGTCACGTATCAGGTTCTATTTTTCGGCGTTATGCCTGTGTGTTAAATCTCAATTCTATGAGGAGCAGATCAAGGAAAATTTTTATTATTACTTATTTTCAAGCTGCCTGCCGAGAAACATGTTTTATTTGGGAAATTTAAGTGACATGCACATGGCTGAGCAGATGACGCGATCACTAGACAAAACTTGCTAAAAAATAATTGAAAGTCATCCCTCGAAATAAACCACGCGCTTATCATGTGACTATTTCATTTTCATTTGGTCCTTGTTTGCATATAGTGAAAGTACGTATCGCCTCAATTCAAGGGAATTTCTTGTGGCATGCTTTCAAACTCTTCGTCTTCGCCAAAAAGTGTTCAGTTCTGATTGGTCCCCATAGAATTTCTTTGCCTTACTTAAGTACGTTCACAGCTCGACAACGAAAGGGAAACGTTTTTGCGATGAAAAGTCCTGAAAATACTATTGTCAGATACGCAACGAAAGAAAAACGCTCGTGACGCACTCACGAGAATGGATTGGCTGCAAAGGCTGAGAGAGCGCAATGGACACAAGGCCCTGCAAAAAATATCTGTGGGAGCGCCATCTTAGTAACCACAGGATTGTTTGGAAGGTCAAAACGTCCTGGCTATATCGTGTACAGGACACCCAAAAAAGAAAAACAGCCAACCACACACAAGATCGGGGGGGTTGCATTCTAGTCGAGCGCAAAACTGCTACGGAAAAATAGATTTAGTTTAGAAAAAAATGAATGATGTTATTGTCGTCGTTCCTTTTTCCATTATATTTAAAACTTGTCAAGACAGTGCAAACTCAAACAATGTAAGTGCATTGGTTATTGTCCAGTAAGTGCAACGATTGCTGAAACCTGTTTTTGATCAAGTTTATGTTATTTCAGTCCGTTTCCCTTGTCTCCTGCTACCTCTTTACTGAGAAAATGGGCGTGATTATACTTATTGTTATTTTGTTTATTTCCAGATATTGACGAGTGTGCTAGCGGTACTGATGACTGTCACAGTTCACGTGCTTTATGTACAAACACAGTGGGATCCTTTAATTGTTCATGTAACAGTTCTTACATTGGAGATGGCAGAACTTGCAATCTACCATCAGGTAATTAGGAAAACATAACGAGGATAATATAAGTAGGAAGATTTTCTTTTATCAAACCTGTACACTAGTGAGTGATGCACCATGCGCTGACCTTGGCTGCTTGAACGGAGTTTTACGTTTAAAATCCATTGGCCGGTTTAAAAGGAAAGCTTTTGAGTCCTTCGACCACTGTATGGTCAAGGGGAATACCCTTGTTTGTTAACGACGTCCTGCAGGAAACGGCCTTGAGATGGCACAGTATTCGGCTCGACTTGTGGGCAAGTCTACTTTAGTGCAATTTATACTGTTACTTTAAGGGGGGTCGACTTTCTCAAGTTTGCTAATTAACTGCGATAGCAGTCACTATCTCTATGAAAAACCGAACAACGATAACGAAGCGAGTTATAAGAATTACCTATAAGATTAGGAAATACACGTGAATAAGTTTCTGAGTCAGAAGTACACGAACAATTAAACGATCACTGTGTTTTTTTTTTGTTGTTGTTGTCTTTGTTCATTTCCGTTTTGATGGTAGTCTTATGGAGTCTTAAGAGTTGTATTCTTGATTTCGGTTTTGTAAAACAATCAGCATAGTGCCCGCCAAACAAATCTTGCGGTGCAATATTTTGAACAAGAGGGTAGGATAATGAGGACCCTGCTACGCGTCCTTTTGTCACTGGTCAAATAACGGATTCAAAGATCGACTTTTTTGCGTATGTTCTACAGTATTTTGTTTTTCTTTGTTTGTTTTTACCCTTACGAAGATTTTAGCTACTTGCAAAAAAAATGGCTCAAATGGCGAATTATTGCCTACGTCATGAAGCCGAGCAAGACGGGAATAGCTGACCCTTAAGCTGTATCGGGCATCCGTGCTCAATGGGTTTAGAAACTACGTTTTCATTATAAGTGACCTTGTATAAATATACTATGGTGGTTATGCAGAGTGCTTATAAGAAAAGACCTTTCAGTTAACAGTCTTTTGACAATATAACTGGCACAGAAAAAAATCTCAAACTCTAGCGAATCTTTGTACGCAAAAGGCTTATAATCAATTGTTAGTTGCCAGAACGTTTTTGCAAATGTTAGTATTGAATGATTGAATCAGCTTCATGATTACAAAATTGAGATCTTTACTTGTAATTATTAGTTATCGTCAATCCTGAAATATTCAAGCACTTTTTTATATATCCACGGGCCTATTTTCCCTGAGAAATACTCGGCAAAGCTAAAGGCGGTACATGAATCCATGTATTCCTGTATCAAAACTTAACGTCGTATGTAACAAAGATAACTCATCGGTTTATACTGGCACAAGTTATGACGATGCCTAACATATACTGCTCATGGGTAATAGTGTTTTCTTCCTGTGTTGTTGTTGGACAACAGTGAGGATGTGGTTGGGGAATTTAGAACATGAACAGTTCCCCTCTTTTACCTCGAGCTCGCCCCGTGTAAGGGAATGCGGATTCCAGAATCCAAGAAATTTTTGCTGGTGGAATCCAGAGTCTGGACAATTGCTTGTGGAATCCGGAATCCTAGGCTTTGGAATCCGGAATCCTTTTAAATCCAGCATCCAAGTTCCCTTGACAAAGACTGAAATCCAGTACCTAGAATCCGTAATTCACGGCGTGGAATCCAGAATCCAGGACTGTCTTGGGTTCCCTTATATCGGGCGATCGAGCTGATGTACAACTAACTGAAACGTTGCTAGCGACTGATGTTCTTTCTCCTCTTTTGTGTCAGAATGTCAGAACTACGGAAGTCTCAACAGCGGAAGCCGAAGGACTTCGTATTACTGGGGCAACCATTATTGTGATAGCAGTCTTGGCCCTGGATGGTTCCGTTTCCAGGGGTCTGCCGGCACAAGAATGGCAACATCATGTCCACCTACCTATAGGTGTGGTACCTATTATCCCGGCTGGCTAAGTGGAGGACACTCCTCAGTAGCGGACGGTCAGGTCACCAGGACGGTGTATTTTAGACGTGGTTACAACTGCTATTATTACTCAAGAACCATAAAAGTGAGAAATTGTGGTTCATATTACGTGTACTATCTTAGTGGTACACCTACTTGTAATCTCCGTTACTGTGGCACTAACTAGGCACAAATGCAAACAAAGTCTATACATATTCTATCATTTCGCTAAAGTAGGCTTTATTGTAAAAACAAAGTAACCATCTAAAAGGAAGACTCTACTCACACTTTAACTTCAATATCAATATCTGTTTACAATAACTTAAGCAAAGGAAGAAAAAGTGAGATAGGACAGCGTACTACTTTTAAGCCATTTGGCAGATTATAGTGCTTATATTAAACTTAAACATTTTTATTATGTAATGGCGAATTAATTTTTAATGACACTCTTCAAAGAAAGCTTTGCAAATGACTTAATTCGGGCGGATTACAAAACTTTCCGACGCAACTAGCACAAAAAACACATCTCTCACAAAAAGATTCTAACTTGGAACCAGACCTTTCGGGGCTTGAGACGTGGGCTCCGCGCCGCTTACATGCAAATTTCGAGTAAACAAGAAAAAAATCATGTCAATGAAAACTTAGAAAAAACTCCAAAACATATTATGTCAACTGAAATTAATGCTAATTACTGAGTCTAACAATGGCATGCATTTGATAAATAAACTACGATGGACAACATGATAGTTAAGATGTAAGGAGTACCGAGTATAAAACTGCTTACTTGTTTTTTGATCGGTCCAGGGAGGCACTCTGTGAAATCGGGAGCGAAATGGATATAAGGACTAGGGATACAGTCTACTCTCGCCTTGCGGACACCCTGCTATTACGGGCACCCCGGCAATATGAACAGCCACTAAATCCCTCCCTATTGCGGACTTTTGTTTGCTATCAAGGACACTAACTCGGGGCCCCGAGAGTGACCTCAATAAACGAAAGTTGACCACACAGGGTTGAGCCCTGATTTTTGGACTACATTAGAATAGGAGTTTCATTGAGAAATAAAGGCACAATTTAGTGGCATTAATAACCTCCTGCTCTTGTACGTTGGTGTAATTTTACTTCAGAATCCCTCAGGCTTTTCCTTTCTTTTGAAAACGAGGGCTTTGTTTTTTAAAAACCTCAACGGGATTACCAAATTTTTCATAAAGGATCAATCGAAATGAATTCAGGTCTAAGCAGTAAAAAGACGCCATCTCGTGTCATCATTGCACACGGGATATGAAGCGAGGACCTGTTAAGATCATTTTAAGAACATATTAAAGAAGATACATGTCTATCTTAGATATAATTACCTGTGGACAACTGGAAAAGACCGTGTTAAACTTCTGTCTAGTAGTATGACGCAGTAGTGAATAAATAAAATGCTGTTTGTCAGTTAATTGTTTTGCCTTTTCATGTTTGGTATGCATTATAACTGGAAACGGGGAGAAAAGAAGGTGTAAACGGCAGAAGGGAGTTTGAGGTAGGAAGAGCGGGTAATAAGGCGCAGAACAGAGCCATATTGAGGGACCGAGTTTAGGCGACTTATAACTGGCGTCCGTTACAAATAAAAGAATTAAGACAATAGGGATCTTAAGATTGAGGTTTTTCAGCATTTCCCGAGAACCGCGAACGTCAAGAAGTCACCTGACCAGGACCTTGCCGTCAGGTCTGCGGTTTGAGGTTCACGTTTGTACGGCTGGACCACGCTCCGGAGGGACGTGATTTACCGCAAGGTTTATTACACCCTAAAACATCACAGTCCCACGTTTGAGAAGAAAGACGACTTTTTAGAACTCTTTTGCTTATTGATAATCGAATTTCATTTTCAAAAAACTGTAATTTTGAAGGCAACAATTTCTCAGCTAAAATAGAGGTAAGCGGATGAATGAAAACAAAAACAGCAGCCGCGAGCTACCACCCGCGAATCTTAAACCCCAAATATGGCCAGACCGATAGTGTGAACCGGGACGTGTGAAGATATACATGTACTCGTTTCGTACCTACAAGACTAAACCAGCCTTTTAATTACTATTTTAGTTTCTCGCATCTCTGGAATTCAAGATAACGGTTTGGGGATCAACGGACTAATTGTTATAGACGTCACTGAAATAATGTACTGCATAATGGTAGTCAGTTCTTGGTGTTGCAGAGAAGAAAACTTATCAATACCCACAAAACAAAACAAAAGTGTCGGTGTCCGTAACACCAAGAAACACCCAAGATAACATATAGATTTCTGACCAGTACTCCATAGAAAAGTGCAAGAGTACGATTTTTAGGCGACTTGACCAAAGAAAACAGGAGTCAGGAACTGAAACGTTACGACAAGGACCACATCAGCTGCCATGAACTGATCGGATGGACTCATGATCAGGATTCTTGCTCCACTTTTTACGAGAAATAAAGAAGCGTTCTTATAAGAAATATATGAACATGGCGCGTTGTAAATTCGTTGTACAACGAAGGCGAATGGTCACCTGGGGTGCTACATACTTCAAAGGTCCAACTAAGATGGATCACTTTGTCGTTAGACCCTTCTAACTAAAATGGTTTAAATAGAAGCATGGGATTGAGATGGGAAAGGACCACAAGCTTGTTTCAAAGAAATGAAAGATGGTAATTTTTAAGCTCGGTGAAACAAATGTGAAAATGAAATGATCAGCATGTCACAACCGTGGGACAAAGAAAAATCTGAGTGCCAGGCAGAATTCGAACCTATGACCTCCCAAACACCGGGCGGGCGCTCTATCCACTTGAGCTACGGAGAACTCGTGGAGAGCGAGGCCATATACTAGGTTCATATTATTATTTATATTAAGAGATCATTCAACTTTGCCTTCCATTTATTTTTGGGGGTTCGGATCTGAACCAATGTGTCGAATTGAAATCTTGTCTCTTCATTTCTCAATTACATTCAAACTATTCAATCGTTTCTGATTGTCTCCAGTCCCGCCGCTAAATCCTCATAACCGGCACACGGTTACCATCATTTGGAAGATGTAGCTACCATCTATTTTCCTTGTCACAATCACGCACTAATTCTAGGCATTGCACACTGTTCAAACAACGACAGATTTCGTTGGGTATAAGTAGCTACCAGAATAGCGTGATATGTTTGATTTTAAGCTAGTCAGTTCTTCCCGTACGTGTTTGACCCCTGTACTATACATAGCCATTTATTTTTATTTATTTATTTATTTATTTTTTTTACCTCCTGCTACACAAGTTTCACTTCCTTGGCTTTTCGAATTCGCCGCAGTCATTGTTCCTACCCTTCTTCCTCCTTGTCTGCCTTAGCCTTCAATATCCATACAACATTTGTCTGTGACGTTTCTTTCGGAGAGCCCATGCACTAATAGGGACACCCGGACTTACGGACACCATGGCATGTCCCTTCTGTTTCCCGTATTAACCGCGGGTTCCCTTGTAAGTTCTTTTTGAGAAGTAAAATATATGTTTTTCCTGATCCTTTTTTCCGAGCTTTTGGTATGGTGAGAAGCAAATTGACACCAGTTTTTTTGTTTTTAATCGTCTATCCTCTTGGGTCATTACATTGTCAAAGCTTCGCAGTAGTGGATCCATTCACCTGGGGCTCGTGCTCGTAAATCTACGACAACACTTTGACAATGTTGTGACCAAATTTTTGCGAAAAAAACTAGCGTCAATGTGATGAACTGAACCAGTTTTTGTGCATAAAATTTTTATTTAACCTACTATTTTCCTACTTCATCGGATGTAGCAGAGCATTCATCCATTTGCAGTGTGGTGCGCGTTATCCCAGTTCGTGTGGGGTGGAGTCAACCGAGTAAACTTGACTACAAAGTAGGGTGAAACCTTAGGGAAATGGGACTTAGTTCGAGCTAGCGGGGAATTCGAGTTATCGGGGTTCTACTCAGTGTGAATGCCTGGCGTCGAGCTTCCAAAGGGAGTCAGATAACGCGGATTTTAGGTTATTGTCAATTTAATGACTCTTAATAAACAACCATTCAAAAAGTGGTGTAGAAACAAGTTCCGGTTAAAAAAAAAAAATAGTGGCATCGCCAAGACTCTCCGCATTGAAAATATGTCCTTTCGATGGATATAAAAAGAACTATCCTGTTGCAGTCTACAAAGATTTTCTCTTGAAAGCCCAGGGAAAATAAATGACATCGCGACGAGCAAAATTCATCGCTTGCGCTATAATTGAGTACTGCAGTAGCCTGCGTATCAGGCGCTTGACAAATATGGTTTCTAAGCTCTCCATTTCTGGTGGCCAGCGAAACGAACGAAAGAGAACGCGCAAGCAAGCGGCAAAGCAGCCTTTCTTTTTCGCGTCAGCCTGCGAAAGCAGCCGTTTCTCTTCGCTCTGCGCCGCTTGGAACAAGCGTTGTAGAACATTTTAACCTCAAAGTTATCCAACGCTTTCAAGCTTTTTCAAGTTTTGATCATTTTAACTATTGTTTTTTTGTTATATCAGAATGCCAAAATTACACGAGACTGAACAATGCTGATAGGAAGATAACTTATGGAAGGAACAGTTATTGTGATAACGATATAGGCACTGGATGGTTTCGTTTTGAAGGGTCAGCCCGCACAAGGCCGTGCCAACTTCATGTCCACCTGTCCAAAGGTGTAACACTGATGTTACAGGCTGGTTGGAGGGTAGTCACCCCACAGTAGCAGAAGGTCAGGTCAGCAGGCGGGTGTGTTTTCACTACGTTAATAACTGCTGTCACTGGGCAACAAACATCTATGTGAGAAATTGCAGTTTATGTTATGTGTACTATCTTAGTGTTACATATTCTATCATTTCACTTAAGTAGGCGTCATTGTGTTAAAGAAAGAATAAAAAAGAAAAAGGGGAAAATTGCACTTAACTTCAATATCTGAATTTGTTAACCAAAGGTAGAAAAAAACTAAGACGAAGAACAACGTACAACTCGCGTTAGCAAGCAAGAACAGTTTTCTTGAAACTTAAAATGAGGATAAATATTCTTTTAAGCCGTTTTAAAGATCAAGTAAGAAATAATTAGTGATAATAGGACTTACCAGGAAGCAAAACTAGGTAAGATAATACCTTATAAAATTACTAATGCAGTTTTTTGTGTCACTTGTCACGATGAATACAGCTATTTCGAGAAAGGTTGTCGGATAAAGTGCACGCGACAACCCCGAAAGGTATTGCGGGTGGTTTTGAGTTCACTGTTTTTCAAAGAAATTTGATAGAATGGCAGGAGAGGTCATGGACATATGTCTGTGAGTGCTAAAGGAAAGCAACAAAAGTAGGTTCGACAGCTACAGTGTCAGGAACAGTGTATTTAACATATCCCATATACTCCTTTCGGGATTGTCGTGTGCACATTTTTTCCGTGAACCTTTCTCGAAATAGCTGTATACACTGAGTCCAAGAATGCCTAGCCTGCGTACTGCAGACGTACTTCCGGTCGTCGTTCCTCTCCCTAAAGAACGCCATGGACTTGTTAAATAAACTACAATGGAGAGATGTTTTAACTTAGAAGATGTGCAGAGAAGGGCGGGGTATGAATCTGCTTACTTGTTATTATATTGATCTGTATAGGGATACACTCCGTAACTTGGATCGGAAACAAACTATAATTGTTCATAACGACTATTCTATGTTCTCACTCACGTGGTCAGCCTCTATGCAAATTTATTGGAACAAAAGAAAGCCTTTACATAAGAAAAGAGTTCAAATCCCACAGGACTGGTTTGGGACACAAACGTGGTCGCCGTTTCATTGTTTTGCGACACAAATAAGGCCGCCACGACGGCATGTGAAAACACACAGGAGGCCTACAGTCAACTCTCGCACGATGTTGAGGCAATTTTTGGATTAGGATTGGAGTCTCTTTGAGAAATAAACGTAAACTTTAGCGAAATACCTGTCACATACGTATGTTTTTATTGAGTGATGACAAGGTTATTTGCACGTTGGCATCATTTTCCAGTTCTCACTACCAGAATCCCTTAAACCCCAGATTAATACATAAAGCGTTCTACCGATTCAGAATCCCATCATTTGATGGGCTCCTGACCGATCGATTGAGGTAAAGCCAGGCCAGACGGTGGAGTTTTACTGTGTGAATCAAGTGTGCAAGTCGCGTGGCACTCTTGCGAAGGAAATGAAACGTCATTCCTGAATTAGATTATTTTAAAAAATTTCGTTACACACCTAGACCGCACACCGCCAAACTTCACACCCTGTTTAAGGCTTCGGGTCTAAAAAAAACCATGCTCAAGACGCTCAATAGTGAAATTATATACCCTGTTTAAGACTCAAGAACCTGAAAGCCATTTGATACCATGTGCAGCAGCACATACCCGTATAGGCCAAATATGGGAATGCCCCCCCGGGCTCATAACGTTGCCCAAATAAATAAAGTCAGCAATGAATTCCAGTTTCGTCACAGGCGACCCAAACTCACGTTACGAGGAATGGGTGACGCATGATATTTGTGCTGGATGCGCCGGTACGCGCCGCGTTACAGGTGACCGTTGAAAACAAGAGACTTTGTATGAGAAATCAAATACTGAGATTTGCGAACGCTAAATAACGTTAAATCTAATTTTCGTTCAATGAAATGAATGAAAACGACTTACCTGCGATGTATTGCACCGTGTTTTGGTGTCTGCTTGTCGTTGTACTGTTTTGGGGGGCTTTATTGCATAACCACTGTTACTCCCTTCACAAGACGAAGTCAAGGCTGCTCATTTCGAAAACAGGGTCCATTGTATACCTCTAAGTTGAACTGTGTTTCTCGATTATGGTAACAATCACTAGGACCGGAGTAAAAGGAGGATTCACCTCTGCCTTGCCTTACTCCAAAGTTCACAGCAAATGCCAATCAACGTATTGTGAAGAATGATATTAGGGATTTTAAGATACCCCATAGGCGACGGCGGCGAAAACGTCACTTAAAAAGTGACTTTGCATTCTTTGAAACTTCAGGGCGATTATTCCAATTCGCTAACTCTGCTAAATGTAGACGAACTCTCTTGAACACGAATACCTTATAGAAAAATCTCCAGAGGCAAAGAGAGTGAGGGAGAGAAATTCGTCTTCTTTTGTTTGTGTTCTCGATAAAACGTGAAATTAGGCTGTAACCTAAAGTGAATGAACGGCGCAGCCCTTTCCTTCTTGTAAACCTTTCGGCTTCTCTCCTAGCTTGCATATTGCTGCAAATCTTTTCATCGATTTGTCACAGTAAAGCCTGCAGGTTTTCATATGATCGCACAGGTAGCCCAGGCTCACTATGAGAGCCCTGAGCAACATTATCCATTCGTGAATTAATCATTCATAAGGCCACAATTATAAGGGGACGTATGAGAATTATCCTACTTCTCCATAACTGAGCAAAACGTGCTTTAAATTTTTCCTTTTAAGCTTGCATGTAGTATTTTATTATGTTTATTTGTGTGTTGACTACGTTTCAGGCCTCTTAGGATGCAAGAACAACACTACCCTTCTAGTCTAATTAACTAGTAATAGTTGACACTACAGCTGCCCCCGTTCTGTATATTGTCGGCCAATAGTATTCTTGCTCGTTGTGTAGCTCTTTGAAATATACCGATTCATAATGAAGATTTTCACACATCAGTTCCATACAATAGGTGAGATAAATACAGGAAACGCAAGGTTCCATGCACAGTTTCAGCTCCATTAACACAGCTTTGATCAAAAGATTCTCAGTTTCGAGAATAGTTTATTCTAAACCATAAGAAAACATTCAATTAGAAGTTGAATTTTTCGCTATTTCTCTTTCACTTTTTTACATTCAGTTCATTTTATTTGCCGGAAGGTAAGCCTTAGAAATTAAAAGGACGTTTGGTCGATTCACGCTCGCGCATTCTAGTCTTATTTGAAACTTTATAACGGAAGGACATTTGTGAGCAGGGAATAAGTGAGCAAAGAATTAGATTGTCGGCGAATTTCTGTAATCGTCCATCGTTCTGCTAGTGATAAGCTAGCCGTTGCTCACTCGTCTTGCTTGTTTGGGGCTGAGTCTTATCCCGGTCAAAGAGATGGAAAGAGTGTCTGGCAAGGTTTCCAATATAAATCAAAGACTTGTGAACTCGTGTCTGGCAAACTCTCCAAGTGTTTATATATGCGCTTAACGAGTGTCTTTTGGTCCATAACTTTCAAAACAACTGCTCCACAGAATGTCACTGCGTAACGCAAAAGAGTATCGAAGTATGACTGCACGAATAAATGTCACAAAATCTACCTGAGCGGTCCCTTCGGGATTTTCTGTCTTTACGTCATCCTAAGTACTTGCGGGCGCAAACAATAGAAACGTCATCATTACCTACCGATTCCTCGCGGCCCCTGTTCAAGCAAATCGAGATTTTTTCTATATTGACTGTATGACTGTATATTTCAACTGTAAGTACTTTCCTTAATATACGCGCGAGTCACTAGTGCTTGGGCAATTATTCATACAGCAACAAAATTATAAGACGTTGTATGAGAAATATTCTTTGCTCACTAAACTAACTAGTAATAGTTGACACTACAGCTGCCCCCGTTCTGTATATTGTCGGTCAATACTGAATAGTATTCTTGCTGGTTGTGTAGGTCTTTGAAATATACCGATTCATAATGAAGATTTTCACACATATTCCATACAATAGGTAAGATAAATACTGGAAACGCAAGGTACCATGCACAGTTTCAGCTCGACTTACACAGCTTTGATCAAAACATTCTCAGTTTCGAGAATAGTTTATTCTAAACCATAAGAAAAGATTTAATTAGAAGTTGCCTCGGTCGTCCTTCGGGCGACGTGCCGTGCGCCAGCGAGGATATGTCTTGCGGTTATTGATTTTCAAAAGTCGATCTGGGTCAGATATTAAGAAGCGAAGAAATCGTTTACAGTAGATTTATAAAGATCCCATTGGGCTAATTAATCGTGCTAAGCGACAGGTATAGACATTTTTCAAGGTAAGTAATTCATTTATTCACACGAAACTCCTCTGGACCCTGTGAGCGATCGTAGCGATCATATGGAAACCAGGCATAAGAGACAGAAATACCTATACTACACTTACAGACGATCTTTCTTTGGATCGAAAATGCATGTGATCCCTCTCAGAGTTGGGTGTTAAGGAAGTGAAATTCTAGCCATCATAAATCTGTAGATCCAAGCTGATTCTCTAAGGCAACAACAACAACAATGATAAATAAATGTAAATCCACAAAGAGACTTCCAGGATGCTATGCCGAGTTTATTACTTTTGCAATTCTTCTAAGAAAACATATTAATCAAGGCCTTTTTATTCGCATTTTGAAAAAGGAAAAAAAAAAAAAACAGTCGACAGTCTTAGGGGCTGCCATACTGTCAATAGTTAAAGAATTGAGGAGAACTCTTATCTTGACAAGTCGGGCGAACAAAGAGAGCCTTGACAAAAGGTGTCAGTAATATAACATTTGAAATAGCTAGAAAAGTTGTTTGTAAAAGGAATGAGAAAAGGTATAGAAAATCCCTATATGCTCTATAATCTTTTTGGCCTGAAATCTATAATGATGCAGTGGAAAACTTTTTTTGTTGTTCGCACTCGGACTGGGAACATAATTCTAAGCGACATATTAGGTGAAAGATAAAAAGAGTAACATGCGACAAGACAATCGAGAGGAAATCGATGCCTACATTTGTTATCAGCGGCAAAAAAGAGAACGCGGGTCAGAAACAATCTACGCAGAAAACGTGCGGACGTGCACGTCTGCTCTCAGGGGGGCAAAGAAGTGTAAGGGGGGTTAAAAACGAAACAAAAGGAGCCTAAGGGTGTGTACACCGTACATACATGTACTTCTATTGTTCTCATATTTTAAAAACACTTTCCTGTAGTGTGATACGAAAATGATTTTCTTGACTGATACAATTCTCTAACGAATGTTCGCCCCCTAGATCCGCGACCTTTTTAGGACAATGATAACTTATGTCCATTTTAGGGTATTTAGTGCTTCACTGCCCATTTAATTAACTGTCAAAGCAACAGAAATGATTCCTCAAAGTGAACACAATAGAAATATCATTTACAAGAGAGGAAGTATTTCTTCAGTTAAGGCAAGATGGTGGAAGAGCGACATCTCCCGATTCTCCTGTACGCCATTTTGATTTTAGTTGTGTTTTTTTCACAAGGAAGTCAAGGTATTAGTGAAAGATCTTTGCGGATTTAAGTTTCAAAGTGTCGATAATTCTTTACAATCTTTTACGGGAAACTAAACGTTTCATTTCAAGGAAGGAAGAATGAAAGATTGGGGTGGGGCGCGTAAGAAAATCCTATTCCAAGGACTTCAAAGGACCTTACGCTCAATGCGTTTGATCATACAATGAATTCCCCAAAATTATGGTTCAGAATTAACGTTAGTTTTTAAATGTTTTCTCTTACAGCAGTTAGTTTTAAATCTGGAAAAATCGATAATATCACTGCCCTGAATGGCGCAGGGTTGTTCGCTTGCGAGAAAATCACGTTTGCAGAACCATTCCCCGGTGGAAAGCAAGTAAAAGTGTTTGCTTCGCCTAGCAACTCAAGTACTGGTGCTGCCTTGTGGGTGGAATCAGAAGATAAAAGTCAATTCAGCGCTTGCATCTACGAGTACAGCGATGGCTCAAATGCCATCGAGATAAACTGGATTGCCCTACAATCTGCTCCCTCTGGGGCACAAATAGGAACCACTTCCTTGGACTCTTGGACTACTGGAACAGAATGTAAGAAGATCTTCTTTCCCCAGGTTAGTTGCGCAACACACTGTACGAGCATAAAAGTGAAATAGCAAGTAATTTACCTCATGGACTGGACTGAACGGTCGAGAACGTTGTTCGTTCTAAAAGTCCGTGAAAAAAAGGTTTTTTGCATAGTTGGGAGCCTGATTTCCTTTTTCGATCTCTTGCATTTTGGAATGGCAGTCCCACTAACTAACACATATTCACCTGCATGTTAGGTATGACTATTTTGTCATTCGTTTTGAAGTTCCATTGCAAGAGGTGCCTCACCGAATCCAATCGCTCATATATTGAATGAATGCCAGAATAAACAAAGGAAAGAAGGATCAAGGAATGGATGGATGAATGAACGAATGTTTATACCTGATCTCATTCTTAAAAAATCTATCATGCACTAACTAGTAAATAATTATTTTGGCACGCGAACATGCATGAAGACAAGCAAACAAAAGTCATATTAGCATAAGGAAATAAACAAACAATAGGAAATAAATAAAAAGGAAAGGAAAGGAAAAGGAAAAATATACAAGGTAATAAAATATTACAATATTTCTCTCAGTCTTCGGATGTTGGCAGAAATCTTTTGAGTTCTTTTCTGAATAAACTTTGAAGACTGAGATGCCGCATTGTTGTTTCGGCAAAAATCAGTTCAGTTACGTTCTAAGTAGCGGAATGGACACACGTTCTCGAACATGCGTGGTAATAATAAATGTCACTTATATTGAAAAATCGGTATGTCTCGAACGATGTGAAAAGGATTTAGGAAGGAAGGAGGGAAGGAAATGATAATTGATTAATTGATTGATTGATTAAACCAATGACTGAACTTTACTTACCAAAGATCATGATCATGTTACGTAAAAATAAACTAAAACTTAAAAGTTAGAAGAATGAATAACAAGTAACCATAACATTCTAAAGATAGTACGGATATGTTGTTGAGATAAGAGGGGCAAAAGCCATTTAATCATTACAGACGAAAGGCGCCATCCGTTAGAACTTAGGCTATTAATCTCTCTGTGCGCGTTTTCGATCTTCTTCAAAAGGGAGACAGTGATTTTGTTGGAATAGGCTTCTGGTTGGAATCAAACCAGATAATTGCGGGTGACCGGAGGGGCCCGAAATGTGATCGCCCGCAATCGGCATAATCTTCAAGTTGTTTGAGGCATGCGCAGCATGTATGACCCATGGACAACATTCTTTTGAACTTTCACTTACAATGAATGGAATGCATGAGAATGCAATCTGATCATGTGTGTTTGGGCCTTCTATCACTCTTAATCTGATCAACTGCGTTTTTACCTTCTCTCACGTGAAACTTACGAAAAGAGCAGCGTAGAAGCGAGATCTCGAGCGTACTCCCTAATTTTTTGGTTAGTACGACTGTAGTATCAAAATAATAATACAGAGGCTGGACAAGCGCATTATGCAAGGTCTTACATGTTTTTGTATAGAGGTAATTCCTAATCCTTTCAAGGCAGTTACTTCATCCACCTTTGAGGTAACACAATTTACATGGCTGTTCAAGTCCGTAAACAGATCAAATGTTGACCTAAGATCACTCAAACCGATTTAGATTTGTTTCTCTCTTTATCTTTACAACACAAGTTCAACAACATAAGTTCCTGAAAGATGACATTGATAAAATTATATTATTGTCAAGCCTAATTTTCTTTAGTTTGAACGTCGAGGAATGCAGTCATTGGAAAAAATTATTAGCCATTAAAATTTATTTCCTGAAAGGCTTTGTACGTTTTCTTTTCTTAGCTATTTTCCCTTGGGTTAACTTTGTAGGTTCACCTGGATTATGACAGATTACTAGAGCCCTAATTTGGATCAAATAATCATACCGGATTAGCTTGAATATAATTGGCTCTGTAGTCTCACTTTCGTTCCTACACGCGCATCAAGCTAAAGATTCCGATCTGAGCTAATCACCTATCCGCACAGACGTGATTCGGCTCGTTGTCTGCCGTCTCCCAAAATAAGCAGCAAGAGCGATTCATCTAACGAATCGTTTAGAAGAAGGGAATTGAAGATTGTAGACTTAAAACAGAATGCAGCATAACAAAGATGAATCCAGTCAGTCCAATTTCACCTTTAATTTGGTATCTGTGGAAAGATCCATCCTCCCAGCATTCGCTGCTGGAAGTCTAATTAAAGGGATCAGGAAATGCATAATCTGCATCGTTTATCTGTCGCCTGGGGTTAATATTACACAGGTATATTATCCTCTCTTGATACAGGTTACTTGCCCAAATTCCTAATCTTTAGAATCTTCTAGAACCTTTCAAGTGGTCGAACAAAATTTAACATTCAGTATATCACGCAAGCCATCCAAAAGTTTTTTTTTTTTTTTTTTAATCAGATCTTAAGAAACGTCCTCTAATAATGATTTAGCCACGACAATAGGTTCGCTCACATAATATAGGAAATGTTTCAAGCTTCGCGGTGGTTGAAAATAAAGACCATAAGAATCCGAAATCACAAACATAAGATTCTTCTTCTCGATTCTTTTTTCATACGACAGAGGTTAAAAATAATTTATCATGCGATGCCATGTTTTCTTCCTTTTCATTGGCCGAAAGCCCACCACTTGACCTGCAAGTAAGTGCCTACAAATAATATAATGGTCTGCTAATGCGCAATGTCGTGCAACTGTGTTTGGCTGCAAATAATATTCTGCTCACGCGTAAACGGAACCACGCTTTTCTCTTTCTTACGATCACTTTTGCGTGAAAAAAGGCAGATCACCTCGCTTCCCGAAGATTTTCATTAAAAACAAACTTGGTGATCGAATGATAAGAAAATTATTACCAAATCTGAAACAAAACAAAAGAAAGATGATTTAGGGTGCAAATATAGAAGTGTTTCTTTTGATATTAGTACACGAGTTTGGTTACATAATTTCATCTCTTTTTGGATATGAACGAGTTGAACAAAGTAGGTCATTCAAACTACGTATTAAGAGTATCACAAGAGTAGGTTTAATGCAGTAAATTTGAAGTCTCTTTTCCCTTTCCGGACCACTGCTTCTCAGTTATTTCTGTTTGTTTTTCCTTCCATAGTTTGCTTAAAATATTAGACTACAGCGCTTCGCTTGTGCGTCTAAACCTTTTTCTTTGCTTAATTTAGCGTTTTTTGACTCCTCCAATCGTACTTGCGACTCCCAGTCATCAGTTTCCAGGGAGACCTCAAGACGCCATGGCAGTTTGGGTAGAGGACCTGACCAAAGACAGTTTTAAAGTCTGTCTCAGGGAAGTGAAGATTTTTGATGGACTTCACAAAGGCATCAAAATTGTGAGTACAATTTTGTACCTAACTGGGGTCTCAGCCCAAAACCTCCGTGATACATATTCGCCCTTCTGAACCATGTACTCTGATTGTGTATGCAACGCAAGAAGATTACTGGTTATTATATTACAACATGAGAAATTTCTGCAATTTGATTGGCTCAGAGCAGTGGAATTTCAGCCTAAGTAATGATCCAGGTAAGGTGGATACCAATTTCTTTTGTTATGCGGCAACGGTGCTTTCCCCACACAGAAATGTTCTCATTTGTACACAGAGAATGCATAAACCTACATGAAGGCCGTTTACGCAATAAAATGCATTTACACTCCACTTTGAAAGGGTGTTTTTTTGTGTTAAAAGATTTTAACCAATCACAAGAGTTGAAAACAATAGCCAAGAAAAGTTTACAATTGTACATGTTCCCCACATAGGATTTCTTTGTTATTCAAACTGAGACCAGATTTTGTTATATGGAAGATGGTTGGAATGTAAGGATGAATATATGTACCGCTTTATGAAGTACAGACAAGAGAAAAATTAGCACCTTTTTTGCATTCCAACATGTTCGTTGCTGTTGTTGCTATGAATCGTTCTTATCTGGACCGTTTCTTAATTTGAAATACCTTCATGTGAAAATTACAAAACTTTTGCGGGTAGTAGTATAAACATATTATAGCATGATTTGTACGTGATATTTGCCATAAATACCACTCGTGATATTTCAAAATTCTCTCAAATTTCACTCGCCTAACGGCTCGTGAAATTACGTATAACAATTTCGAAATATCACTCGTGGTATTTATGCCAAATATCGCCACAAATCATGCTATTACCTATAGAAATTTTTTAAGGGCCTGTTTACATGGAGTGGGGGGCCCCAGTTGGGGTTGGTTTCTTTTGTTTTCACGCTCTGGAGGACACAAAACAAAGAAACTTACCCCACTAGACCGGGGTCCCTCACTCCATGTAAACAGGGTCTTAGGGCCTGTTTATATGGAGTGGGGGACCCCGGTCTAGTGGGGTTAGTTTCTTTTGTTTTCACGCTCTGGGGGACACAAAACAAAAGAAACTTACCCCACTAGACCGGGGTCCCCCACTCCATGTAAACAGGGTCTTAGACAAGAGCTGCAAAACAAACTTTTTCAAAGATTCATTTCATATATATCAAATGTGTAAGTTTGCATTTCATAACACTTTGCGTTTTTAGCGTTATAATTTTTAGTTCAACCTGTTAAAGAACCGTTCAGAGAGTTTTTTATGCAATTTGTTTAACGTCTATTAGCAATGTAAGTAGCTGTTTTTGTAAAGATTCCAATAAAAAATTCATTGGCAGATGTTAAGGGCTATTAAAAATACGAACGAGCGGTTTGGCCTTGTCTGATGAAACATTTTATTCTTATAGAACTGGATGGCTTATACAAACCTCACAGTCGAAAACTTCACCTTATCTGACAGTCTTGAGTTTACGGAGAAAAAGTTGCCATCTCAACAAGATGACAATTCCTTTTGCCAGGTACAGTAGAATAGTTTTAATCAAAATGGACTTATTAATTTGCATCAGGAAATTTCTTAAAGACTTGCATATTGCTTAGACATGTTCCTTTCTTGCCCCATTTCTAAAAAGTATAAACAATACTTGGTTAATTTTCCCAATGACTTTCTGATTATAGATAAAATGAATCCTAGTTTTTTTGCTTGATAGTAATATAGAACAGTACCCTTTCGAAAAAGAACGAGATGAGTAGTCGTGTTGGATTTATGCCGAGCCGCCGTGAAGCTTCGAAGTATATATTCGTCTTTGATGGGATGGTTAATTAGACAAATTCCATACAGCGGCACACCTCCATTTTCCTCTTACTAGAGATTACACCACCCCTTCCCCCACACCCCCCACACACACACACCTTTTCACCTCCGGGGCACTGATTAGTCAATATTTTAAGCATTATACGTTTGCCTGTTTTTATCTCATTTATTATTTTATGACGTTTATTCCATGTTTTCTTATTATCATTATCATTATTATCCTTCAGTCATTAATTCAAAAGGCCAGAAAAACAAAACAGAAATTTGGTACTGCAACAAGCTATATATTTTATGTTGCAGAAAATCAACTTCACAATGCAACTCTTTCTTCCGCCGGTGGTAATAGTGACAGCAAAACATGTCAACAACGACTCGAGTGTGTCTGAATGTAATGCAATCACAGCTTGGGTTAAGGTAATAAATCAGTTTAAATTAGCACTGATATAAATATACCAGGAGAAGCGATATAGACTGAGAAAGCCAGTTTCACGTTCAAACAATCTCCTCATCATCGTCATCATCATCATTATCATCATCATCATCATCATCATCATCATTGTCACCATCATCATCAACAACAACAACGTTTAATTGAGAGAATTTATCAAATGGCACCCAAAAGCCGGCTAGAAACTGAGGAAGGATCAGAGAAAGAAAAAGCAAACAGGACATCCATGTTACGCGAGTCCCCTAACTGAACAAAAGTTTTCAATTCCGTATAATTAATAAACTGTTTATTACTTATATTTACCCTCAGAACACATCAACCACAGAAACGGAAATTTGCGTCAAAGCCTACGACGTCAAGAGCAAGGATATTATAAAACTCGATTATCTAGTTTTTGGAGGTAGGTCTGTCGGTTATCAGCTCGTTTAATTTTTCCCTTGACCTCTCTTTAATTCTTCTACACTCCAAACGTTTTGGTACTTTTGCAATGGAACTTATGAAGGAACACTCACGACGAGTATTGGCTCATAATGGCGTCATCAGTTTAAGCTTAGACTACCGCCAGTGAGAAACGAAATCACCGCTGAGAAGAGAGTTGAAAATACGACGTGCAGCGGAGTATTTTTGACGAACTTCGAGATGTTTCATCTGGTGATGAAACACTGTGTCGAATGCTTGATATTACTTCTCAAACAAAATGATTTTACCAAAAGAAATTTAGGATGAAAAACTGAGTATTTTTTTCATCTGATTTCCAAACACTGGTTTAACATTAATTTCCTTTATATTTTCTTTATGAAATATTGATAAGCTTGAGAAGGGAATGGCTAAATCTGAAACTTCCAACACTGGGTTCAAACCCTTCACAGTTTTACTAAGAAAGGGTACAGTTATACTAAGAGCATAGTCTTCAGCTAATTCTCTATTTTCGAATTCCCCATAATACACTCTGTTTGCCCCCCAAATTTTGCATAAACCATTGTTTTTAAATGCTCCTGGGAGTATTGCATTTTCCCAAGAGCATTTTAAGACAATAAGTTATGCAAAATTTGGGGGGCAAACAGAGTGTATTATGCGGAATTCGAAAATAGTCAATTAGATGTAAATATGCAGCTGTGGCGCATGCGTACAAGCCAAAATGTGGAATAACGGGAATCCATTTCCATCTTTCTTTCTCGTTACTCCGTTTTCTCTCTTTTGTTGCCCAGTTTATCGTCTGTTGTTCGCATGGTAAAGCAGCTCGCTAACTTTCTAGGAAACCGACAAATTTAACATGCAAACGTAGTAGGTGAATAGAAAAATTAGCAGTGGATTTTCCCCAATTTCTCATTTGTCGAATTCAAACGATAACAATGCCTCTCTTTTGGTTGAACATAGATCCCGATCCTTGTATAGGAGTGATCTGTGCTTACTATGCACTATGCAAGTCTTTTGCACCATACGATGCCCGCTGTGTGTGCATAGACAAGTGCCCACAATACCAAGAACCCATCTGTTCTTCAAATGGAACGACGTACACGAACCTGTGTTTCTATAAACAGGACATGTGTTTCTTACAACTGAACCACACAGTTCAGCATCCTGGAAGTTGCGAAGGTAATGTACTAGTCAACTCCAAAATTATTTTTACTATCACTGATTGTACTCGACTGTTTTATTAATTTATTTAGATTTTTTTTTTGGTTTTGATTTTTTTCATTCGGAAATACTAACAGCAATGCCACTCTTTAAATCCGAATGTTTAGATCAAGTTGATTTACCTACGTACCCACCAACCTACCTACCTTGCGGGAACTAATTTTTGCGGTTAGAACAGATTGGCTTTTCTTGCTGGGAATTAAATTTTGCGATTTTCAGAAAAACGTACCCAGTACCCACGGGCAATAGAAATACATACCTTCAAACAATAAACCAGTATTTCGTTGTTTCTGAATGAAAGAGACAAGTTGTGATTGAACAGACACGATTTCTTAGTACTGTATTTTTGGGTAGCGAATTTAAGTTAGAGAATATTTACTCTGGAGTAAATTTTTGCGGGAAAAATATTTGCGGTAATTTTTATATGCGGGAATCCGTACCATCTCCATTGAAAGTAATATCTGCAATGATAAGTTTAATTGAAAATAGCAGCCAACATACCTTAACCTTTACAAGCTGATGTTATAAATAGACTGCATAAAATAGTTCCTAGGAGCTATATTTTATATTTTGGCTTAAAGAAATGAGGAAATATAGAACTTCAGATACCACATGGGTTTAACACTAGACGTTAAACGAGCTGTGTCATGAAATTTACCAAAATGTAGACTGTGGGAACTGCCACCAAATTGAGTGAAACATAAAAATAACCGCTTAAGACATTAAAAGATGGTATAAATGACTCAGCAAATACAAAAGAAGGTACAGATGGGAAAACATGAAGAAGATTAAAACGGATTGAAATTTTGGTTTTTGAAAACTTGTTAACCTAACAGTTTTTCAAAGTTCATTGTTTTCGTCCGTAACACTTGATATGCTTGGGAGAAACATCTGTTTAAAACGAAGCTTTGATTTCTTCATTTCTTTGCCAACGTAACGCTCAAAAGCGAATAGGGACCACGTAACTGGCAATATTAACAAAATGAACCAGATAGCCGTGACACAGCACCTTTTATAATAAGTAGAGGAGTTTGTATCTGCATTGTTTGAGAAGTTTTGAATATCAATAACAATTTCCAGTCAACGAACCATGAAAGCTCAAGGCAAAATCGCAAAGGATTAGTCTCAGTGAAGAAATGAAAGGAAAAACAATTAGTGATCACGTGAAGAAATTACCGTGAGGAAACTAGGCACGAGTCAAATCCCCACCTCGCTCCCCGACTTCCATGGACTTCCATGAATATGCTAAGCAAATCCTGAGAAATCCCCCACCCCCACGGGCTAACCATGCCTTCAAATACCATAAAAATCCCCCACATTGCCCCACATAGGACCGGGGTGGGGGGTCGGGGTTTCAATTGATAAGTGCATTAGTTCAGTTACTGTCAAAAGTGCACTTATGTAGTTTTGTTCTGCTTTACTTGCCAGGATTCCCATTTCAGCGAGCACGACTTCATATGCCTCATATACCATCCTTGGGATATTCTCATTGTGAAGTAATTCATTTGCGACCATACGTTTACTATCCCGACAAACCCATTCAAGTGCAATTAACTGTCAATCACGTCGATACCAGGGACATGAACTATGTCCACGATGCTGCTGTGTCGTGGATTGAGGATGTGAGCTACGAAAACTTCACTGCGTGCGTGATGGCGGCCGGGTATAACGAGCGTAAGTCCAGAGCTAATGTGTCTATAGACTGGATAGCTTATCAGGGAGCTCCAGTCGGCGGGATCTCTGGAGAAGTGCGTATGTCACAATGGTGGACAGGGACAACTTGTAAAACCGTGAATTTTCCGTCGGTGAGTGATGTATTTTACCATTCTTTTTCTTTATTTGTATTCTAGAACTGAGCAAATGTTAAAGACGTGTTAACTTTCTTAGTTGTGTACATTATCGCCGGGGTATCAGTAATGAGCTACTTAACTGCATAATGGTAAAAAAATAGGGTTTACAATCAACTGACGCAAATAAATAAATGAGTGAGTAAATAAAGAAATAAATACATGAAAATATAGATAAATAAAATAAATATATACAAAAGTACTGGAGACTATGAAAAATTAATTTGGAACTACAACTACTCGTTGATTTTTGAATTTCAATTCTCTCTCGTACAGCTATTTCGAGAAAGGCTGTCGGAAAAAATGTGCACGGAGTAATCCCGAAAGTTAAAATAATATGGGATATGATCAATACACTGTTCCTGACACTGTAGCTGTCGAACCTACTTTTGTTGCTTTCCTTTAGCAGTCGCAAACATACGTCCATGGCCTCTCGTGCCATTTTTTTCTAATTCCTTTGAAGAACAGTGAACTCAAAACCACCCACAATACCTTTCGGGATTGTCGAGAGCACTTTTTCCGACAACCCCTCTCAAAATAGCTGTATATGCCATGCTTTCAAATTATTACTTGTTTCTCTTTTTCTCCTTTGCCTTTTCCTGTGGCCAGGCTAAGTTTTCTAGGGAGCCTTCAGTTTTTGTAACCGTTACACATCACCATGCCGGTCTGAAGAGAGACGCCGCAAGTATTTGGTTGGAGGACATCACGCACTCTTCCTTCAAAATATGTTTAAGGGAACTACAAAATTATGCAGGCTCACACGAAGATATTCATGTTGTAAGT